AAAAGACCAGACTTACTGGCCTGACAGAGACTGGAGAAACCCTGAGAGTATGACTCCTGGACACCCTGTTAGCTCAGTAATGAAGTCACTCCTGAGCCACAGATTAGACAGCCTTATAAAACAAAATGAGACTAATGGGGCACAACAGTCCAGGGACAAGAACTAGAAGGCAGGAGGGGACAGAGAAACTTGTAATAGGGAACCCAATGTCGAGAACGGAGATCATTGACATGTTGTGGGGTTGTTAACTAATGTCATAAAACAGTATGTGTACTAACTGTTTAATGAGAAACTATTTGTTCTACAAACTTTCATCTAAAGTACAATTAAAAAAATTTAAAAAAAGAAAAATTTAAAGTTTATGATTGTCAGTCAATTATGTTCAGAGTGAAAAGAACAAGGAAGATATATTGGTAGATGATGTAAAGAAACCTGAGAATCATGGTTAAAAATATGAAGCAGATAGTTTGGGTCTGAATCCTGCCTCTGCAGTGTGCTAAATGGTCTTGGGCTACTTACTTAACCTCTCTGTGCATCTGTTACTTCATCTGTAAACAGGGACAATATTAGTACCTACCTTAGAGGATGAGCCAGATTGTATTTTCCAAAGGTGGCCATGACAGTTTATCTCCCATGTTCTTCTTGCAACGTGATGCTGACCTTCTCCATCTGGAGGTGAGGTCTGTGCTCTCTCCGCTTTGGACCTGGATGGACCTGGATGGACCAGGAGAGTGTGGTTTAGGTGACACTGCATGACTGAGCCTAGGTCATAAAAGACAACACATCTTCCACTTAGCTGTCTTGCTCTTGGAACCCAGCCAACAATATTGTGAGGAAGCCCAGACTCACATAAAGAGGCCAGGTGGCCAACAGTCCCAACCAGGTTCCCAGTCAACTGGTAGCATCAGCCTGGAAAGTGAGTGAATGGAATGTTAGATGATTCTAGCTCCCAGTCCTCAAGTCTTCTAACTGAGGCCCCAGTCATTGAGGAGCAGAGACAAGTCTTTCCCACTGTGCCCTGTTTAAACTCCTGACCCACTGAAACCATGGGAGACAATGCATGATTACCATTTTAAACCACCGAGTTTGGGATGGTTTGTTATGTAGCAACAGATACCTGAGACAGAGGAGACGTGAGGGTTAAGTGATCAATACATGACATGCTTAGGATAATGCCTGGCATCCAGTAAGTAGTCAATAAGTGTTGCTATCATTACTTCTTTTTTTTCGTAGAATAATCTTCATACTGAAAAAGTAGCTGATAATTTAGAAGAGAAAGATGGACACTTCACGTAGCTAAATAATTATGACAGAGCACCTAGTTGCTTTAAACAAATTAAAGGCTCCTGCTGTGCTGGATTACACCCCAGGGGAAAGTGACAGGTATCCACAGGTCCACTTTGAGGACTTCTGCCACTGAGGTGGTGCCAGAACAGGGTAATGTTGTCCTGGTTTTCCAAAGGGGAAGGAAATACAAGCTCTCCACCCAGGTGAGATCATAAAATGAGTTATTAAAGCATCTGAAGCAGGACTTGGTGGTTCCCAGGAGCCAGTGTGGAGGACATTTGGTGGGCGCTAGGTACAACCCTGCCCCGTTCGGCATGACTGTATTGAAGATGTCCACGGCAAGCACGCACATTTGTGGATAATGAGAAGTTACGGACCTTGAAGCAAACACACACCACAGGTTCTACAGGTGGGCATTTCAGAGTTTGGATTTCTGCTCTGCCACCTATTAACACTATTGTTCTGGGCAAATTAAATAACCTCTTTAAGCCTTGTTTCCTCGCTGTCAAATGTGGACAATAACAACTACCCTGAAGGTTTTTGTCGAATGAGTGAAAAATGCATATAAAGTTCTCAGCCTGGTACATATTAGGTGCTCGCAACATGTAAATTATTATCTCATTATTCATGGAGAACAGAATCAGCTTCCAACAGATTCTGACTGGGTAGCCCAACTGGGTAACTAGAGTAAATAAAATGGAATGTTCTTCCTAGAACCCAATCCTAACAGCAGAGGGACAGGAAAGGTGAAATGTTGCTTAGCAGCAGCACAAGGAATGAAGATGTATGGGTTTAAAAGGAGAAAAGCTTAATGAGTCAACAGCATGGTGAGGCTGTCCAAAAGCTGATGTGGCCAAGCTGTGTTAATAATAACTTTTAGCCAAGAACAACCAAACTAGTGAGAACGTATTTTGGCCTTTTTCATTCAGTTCTGAATGCATTTCCTCCCTAGATTATAAAGTTCCATACTCCAAGATGTAAATCCACAGGACAGTTATTTCCATGAACCCTGGAAAGCCCTAATGAGATAGATTTTATTTTTGGCAGCTGTGCCTGTTGGTATCTGCCTGCTAATTGAACTGGATCCTGTTATCTAGTTCTTACCCAGTCTTTAAAAGATTGCCTTCTTTTCTCACCTTAACCACTCTATCACCTCTGATTTAGTTTTCCAGACACTACACAATGCAAAAGGTCTACAGAAACGTGTTACACCAGGTTGTCAAAAATCCTCAGAGCAGGAAGCTAAGAGATTGGGAGGAAACTTAAAGGACTTAAACCAGCAGATGATGTATGGGCAACCTTAGTGCCTGGAGAGGCTGCTGTGGGGGTCACTCAGGAAGTTTGCCAGAATTCCCACATCTTCCATGCTTCGCTCCGGGAAATAACAGTGAACTACAGGAACATGACTCTGGCTTCCCAAGGGGGCACTCGTGCAGCAGTTAGAAGTCACCACTGTGCACATGTCCCTGAAGTCTCTCTGATGTCTATGCCATCACTGAAAATATGCAGACTGAAACAGAAAATTTGTCAAATTGCACAACCATCCCCACTCTACTAACTAAGGATGCTTTGGTTCCCATGTCCTGAAATCTTGACTGGCTCCCTTCACCTCTCAAATCTTGGTTTTACTCTTTATTCAACCTTTAGTCACTTTTTCTTATATTGCTAGGTATACAACCAAAAAAACTAAACCCATTGCCGTCAAGTCGATTCTGACTCACAGCAACCCCATGTGTTACAGAGTAGAACTGCTCCATAGGGTTTTCTTGGCTGTAATCTTAATGGAAGCAGTTTGTGAGGCCTTTTTTCTGCAGAGCTGCTGGGTAGGTTTGAACTGCCAACCTTTAGGTTAGCAGCTAATCACAAACTGCTTGTGCCAGCCAGGGATGTGATATTCTTAGGTATTAAAAAAAAAACAAAAAACCACTGCCGTTGTGTCGATTCTGACTCATAGCAACCCTATAGAACAGAGTAGAACTGCCCCATAGGGTTTCCAAGTCTGTAAATCTTTACAGAATCAGGCTACCACATCTTTCTCTCACAGAGCAGCTGATGGGTTCAAACTGCTGACCTTTCGGTTAGCAGCCCAGCTCTTAACCACTGTGTAAATGCCTGATCTCCAAGACTCTCCACTAGCTGTCAGTCTGACAGCATGCCCAGCAGTTGATACACTTTCAAGGCCAATAAGAGTGAAGGCCAGTCCACCCTAGAAAAATATTTGGACCAACCTCAACCTCACAGTGACTCTGATTCCATCCCTAACAGGGTTTAAGGACAGGCTTTGTCTGAAACAAGAGGAGACTTGGCCAAGTGCTCACAGTTGCCCAATTCTCACCCTCAGCTTTGGCCTGACCAAACTTTAGTCAGGCTTCTCTCCTCCCCATAGGCTCTTGAACTCTTCTGACCCCCAACTTTACACTGATCATCCACCTTAATAGCTTATTCTGAGAAATGAGGGATCACAGACAAAACTATTTCCAGTTGAAGCCCTCAATTTTGCCACCAGCATATTCTCACCCTCCTGCCCACCACCCCCACAAAGTTCCAGCTAGTCCTTACTCCTTCCTATAAAAGAAAAACCTTCATTTGCTTGATTTTGAGACACTTGTAGATTTCTAAGATGGGAGCATTTTTCCTACTGCAGTAGTCTTTTTGAACAAAGTTTCTCCTTATCTAAGTCCAGATTTTTTTGACTGCAGAGCTGCACAGAAGAGGATGTTAGATAAATTATCTCAGCAGGGGCACCATCTAGAAATGACAATCTGTACCATGAGGGTCTTGTTTGGTGTCTCGGGGAGGCAGGGGTTGATGTAACGCGGCTGTGCATCACCAACCAAGTGTGTGTGAGGAGCCAGCCTGCTGCAGGTGTGGGCGTGTCTGTGCGAGATCCAGGTCTCTTTCAAGACCGCCATATTGCCCTCTCTCCCCCCGCAGCCTCCCTGCCCCTTTCCTGCATCGCCCTCACCAGGGCCAGCTCCTCCACTGCCCCCCAGTCGCCCCACCCTGTCTGCCCTTCTCCCCCAGCCCCTGGTGTGGTCGGTGCCTGTCAGTCAGAGGCATCAGTCTGTGCTGCTCAGGAGGTCTGGGTGGGGTTTCATGGCAGCCAGGGCAGGCTTACCTGGTTGTCATCCTGCAAGAACCACCTTGATATGTGGGGACACCCCGACATCCAGCCCTGTCTGGGGAGGAGAGGAGACCTCCTGCCTGCGCTCAAGGCTGCCTCCAGGAGGGGACCGCAGAGCCCACCTCCTCCTGCAGGGCCACTCCCTGCTTTCAGTCTGTCGCCATAACATGGCTGATGCACTGCGGATTTCCCAGCCCCTGAGCAGCAGCAGCAGCCGCTGGAGGAAACGGGAGCATGCAGCTATTTTGTCTCTGCCCAGGACTCACTAGCTATCTAACCACAATGGGCGCTGTTCAAGGAGGAAGGAGGAAGAAAATGGCCATGGTGAGTGACATTTAGGAGACCACACTATTATGTCATTCCTTTTCCTTCTTTTTAATTTCAGTTTTGGGAGGTCATCAGCGATGAGCATGGTATTGACCCCACTGGCAGTTACCATGGCGACAGTGACTTGCAGCTGGAGAGAATCAATGTCTACTACAATGAAGCTGCTGGTAATTATTTGAACGTTTTTGTCTAATCAACCTTGCTTTTCATACTGTGGAAACTTACGTATTCAGAACATCCATGTGACAAAGAAATGCTTCTTGCACTTATTTTAATGCCAACTGCTGAAGAATACACTGTATCATTCCTTAAAACTCCTGCTTGTTTGACATGGCTGAACATGCTAAATGTATCCGTTTTGAAAGCAGAAAAACTCTGTTCTCCTATTTTGTCTCAGTTGCTGGAATTTTCTCTGATGAACCCTGACGGGAAAGTCACATGGGTGGGGCACAGCCTTCTCCTGTGATCACTTTGCTAGCCATAGGTCTAATTCCAGCTTTTGCTCTGTGCAGGTAACAAATTCATACCACGGGCCATCCTGGAGGATCTGGAGCCTAGTACCATGGACTGAGTCAGGTCTGGGCATTTGGCCAGATCTTCAGGCCGGACAACTTCGTGTTCGGTAAGTGACTGCATAGCTGAATGGTGTGGGCTCCTTTTACACTGGGCAGCTCACTGGGCAGGGTAGGGCTACTGAAGGCAGTATGAAGAACATCCAGTTGTGGACCAGCTTAGTCCTCATATAGGCTAGAAAAATATTTGCCTTTCAACTTATAATAGCCAGGTGTCCTAGCCTTCCTTATTTATCATTATACCCACGACCACATATTTTAATGTCTGGGTCATTTTGGTGGTAACTTGAAATAACTTCATCTGAGTGCTGACTCATTGGTCTATATTAAGTGGTTTAAGATAAGAAAGAATTTAATACAATCACTAGTGACTGATGAAGTCCCTTTCCCTCTGGCAGGCCAGAGCAGTGACAGCAATAACTGGGCAAAGGGCCACACTACACAGAGGGAGCAGAGCTGGTGGACTCGGTGCTGGATGTGGTGAGGAAGGAGTCTGAGAGCTGTGACTGTCTCCAGGGCTTCCAGCTGACCCACTCTTTGGGGGGTGGCACAGGGTCTGGGATGGGCACACTGCTCATCAGCAAGATCAGGGAGAAGTACCCTGACCGCATAATGAACACCTTCAGCGTCATGCCTTCTCCGAAGGTGTCAGACACCGTGGTTGAACCCTACAACGCCACCCTCTCTGTCCACCAGCTGGTGGAGAACACAGATGAAACCTACTGCATTGACAATGATGCCCTGCACAACATTTGCTTCCGTATTCTGAAACTGACCGCCCGTACATATGGTGACCTCAACTACCTAGTGCTGGCCACCATGCACCACCTGCCTGTGTCTCCCAGGCCAGCTGAACGCAGACCTCTGCAAAGTGGCTGTGAACATGGTGCCCTTCCCCCGGCTGCACTTCTTCATGCTCAGCTTTGCGCCCCTGACCAGCAGGGGCAGCCAGCAGTACTGGGCCCTGACCGTGCCAGAGCTCACTCAACAGATGTAATGTCCTTCTCTGGAATCTAAATCCTAACAGCAGAAGGAGGGACATGAAAGGTGAGATGTTTCTTAGCAGTCTCACAAAGAACAAAGATGTATGGTTTTAAAACCAGGACAGCTTAATATGAGTCAACAGTATGATGAGTCTGTCCAAAAGTTGACGTGGCCAAAGCTGCCTTAATAATAGTTTTCAGCCAAGAACCACTGAACTAGTGAGAATATATTTTGGCCTTCTTCATTCAGTTTTCAGTACATTTTTTCCCTGGATTATAAAGGGCTTGTCTTAGGCTGGATTCTCTAGAGAAGCAAAACCAGTAAAGTGTATAAATATATATGTAGGAAGAGATTATATCAAGGAAACAGCTCAAGTGATTGTAGAGGCTAGAACGTCCCAAGTCCATGGATCAGGGTAGAGGCCTCTCCCAAGTCACACAGCTGCAGAAGCTGGCAAGCCCAAGATCAGTAGGTTGGAGAGCAGGGCTCCCACTCACAGGCTGTGCAGATCGACGAATCCCAGGTTCAGCAGATAAGCTGACAGCTTAAGTCCCAAGAACAGGAGATGAGACGACAGGAAGCGGTCGCAGGATCCAGAGAGAGTGAAAAGCCAGAACGTCTGTTTATATACAGATGTGGGCCCAGCCAAGTTGACACACAATCTTAACCATCACAGGGCTCAATGTCCTGTTTCATGGGGTGCCCAGGAAGGGATTGGAAATGTGTGGCTGGTGAAGAAAACGCCTGCAGCAGCATGAAGATTGCAGCATCTGGAAGGGGTCATGGAGAAGACAAAGGTGGTCATGTAAGGAACCAAACCAGGACCAATCGCTAAAGCAACATGTCAGTTGACATAGACGAACTCTCTAACAGCCTCTTTGCAGTAGACACTGTGTAGCAGACACTTCCTTCCCGTTCTTGTCTCCATTCCTTACTTGCCTACTGGCGCTTCCTGAGATCACCTCCCTATGAACCACTTCCAGTCAATCCTTGTCTCAGGCTCTGCTTCAGGGAAACCCTACCTAAGACACTTACCAAGGAAGAGATTGTGTATTAGTTTCCTAGTGCTGTGTAACAGTTCATTATAAACTCTGTGGCTTAAAATGACATGCATTCATCATCTTGCAGTTTCCATGGTCCAGAGGTTTGGCACGGTATGGCTGGGTTCTCTGCTCATGGCCCCCCACTACTGAACAGCACCACTGCTTTTTCCTCTGGGGCCAGGGTACTCTCCCCCACTCATTCAAGTTGTTGGTAGAATTCAGTTACTTGCATCTGTTGGTCTGAGGCCCCGTTTTCTTGCTGATGGTTGACTAGAGGCTGTTCTCAGCTACTAGCACCATCCTCCTTTTCCTGACACCTGGCCTCTCCACAAGATGGCAGTTGCTCCTTCAAAGCCAGCGGGAGAATGTCTCTGCTGCTAAGAACCTCTGACATCCTCTTCTGCCACCAGCTGCAGGAAATTCACTGCTTTAAAAAGCCTCATTGGATTAGGTCAGGCCCATCCAGATAATCTCTTACATCTGCAAAAGCTCTTCAGAATAGAACCTAGATTAGTGTTTGATTGAATAACTGGGGGAAGGTGTGTACCCACCAGGAGTTAGCTGAATCCTGGGGCTATCTTAGCATTGGCCTGTTTGGGAAGTGGAAACACATGGTCTTTGGAACCAGATGTACTTGTGTTCATACCCTGATTTCTCTATTTACTTGCTATATAGCCTTGGGTAACTATTTTAATCTCTCTGAGCCTGAGCTGCTTTATCCAGAAAATGGTGATAATAGTACCACTTCAAAGATTTATTGTGAGGATTAAATGAAATAACAGGTTTTGTAGTGAGCACCCTGGCAAGGGAGGTTGTTATGGATTGAATTGTGTCCCCCCAAAATATGTGTTAGAAATCCTAACCCATATACTTGTAGATGCAATCCCATTTGGGAGTAGGCAATAGTGTAGGATGTGTCTTAACCAATCACTTTGAGACATTAAAAGAGCGGATTAGGCACAGAAGCAAGGAAGCACAGATGGGCGAAGATAAATGCCACATGGAGATCTCTCAGGAACTGAGGAACAAAAGTTGAAAAGACACAAGGACCTTCCCCCAGAGCCAACAAGAGAGAAAGCCTTCCCCAAGAGCCAGTGCCCTGAATTCAGACTTCTAGTCTCCAGAACTGTGAGAAAATAAGTTTCTGTTTGTTAAAGTCACCCACTTGTGGTATTTCTGTTATAGCAGCATTAAGAAACTAAGACAGAATTTGATACTGGAAAGTGGGAAGCTTCTCTAACAAATAACTAAAATGTGTAAGTGGTTGTGGAATTAGATAATGGGTAAGGTATGTCTTAAACCAATCACTTTTGAAATGTTAGGCACAGAAGAGCAGATTAGGCACAAAAGCAAGGAAGCACAGTTTGGGGGAAGATAAACGCCATGTGGAGTTTTTCAAGAAACTGAGGAACAAAAACAGCTTCATAGTAAGGCCTTAGTTTGCCTTAAAGAGACTGTTTGTAGAATTATGGACATTAAGGACGATTCTGATGAGGGCTCAGAAAGAAATGAGGGCTGTGATGAGAGCTTCTATCATCATGACAGAATGTTCCTAGAAATGTTGGCATTAAGTGTGCTTCTGATTAGGCTTTAAAAGGAAATAATGAACATGTGATTGGACACTGACGGAAGAACAATGCTTTTTATGCAGTGGCAAAGAACTTGTCTGAATTATGTTTGAATGTTTGGTGGAAAGTAGAACTTTTAAGTGATGAACTTGGATATTTGGCTGAGGAGATTTCTAAGGAAGATCTTAAAGGGACCATGCGGTTTCTTCTTGCTGCTTATGGTAAAATGCAAGAGGAAAGAAATGGACTTAAAAGTGAATTGTGCAAAATGAAACCAGAAATTAAAGATTTGGAAAATTCTGAGGAATACTTTCACCAAGAACATAGCTACACAATCTTTTGTTCAAGAGATTAAGCTTGTGACTGATGGATCTTATCAACCACTGCAGCAGAAAACCTATCAGTTTAGACTGAAAAGGACAGAGACAAGACAAAATGAAGGAAAGCTGCCTGCCTACTGGAATTCTATAGGCAAGAAGCAGGCCAACGGAGTGACTTGGTTGCAAACATCTGTTGTCCTCCAAGAGAAGGAAGGTACCATTCCGGGAACAGTTTGGAGATCAGCAGAACTGTTGGAGGGACTACGGCAGGCAGGGCTCTCTCTATTTCAAAGGGTGGAAAAACTACCTCATAGCTTTCAAAGAGTCAGATCTCTACCAACTTGGTTCTGGAGAATGGGGATGCCGTTCAGGTGGGCCTAAAGGATGAGACTTTGCCCAAAGCTGAAAGGGTGGGATTGACATGCCGAAGGGCCAGGAGAATGGAGTCTACTGGAGTTGAGGGGGTGGGGTTGCCACTCAGATGGAGTAGGAGAATGGGGCTGTCC